TTGGTATTGACATCACTAGTTACTGCCGCACAGAATGCCAGTGAAATATCCTGGCAGTGAGAGACAGTGTAATACCATGTCAGAGATTCTTGGATGGGGGTACCCTGATGGTTAATGAGTTTGTCGTCACACCAAAGTGTTTGAGAGTAGGCTCCCCCACAAAATATATACAAACATAATCTGGCAACTTAACTAAATCAACGCCCTGTGCCAGAACTACTCTGGAGGTAATGCTGCTGTGTGGGTCCCGGATTCTACCTGGGTGTTTGGGGGGTGAGGTAGTGTATCAAGTGGTGAAAGTTCTTATGGCATGCCAAAGGCCTGGTATTTGATTCCCATCATGGGTACAGTGTGTGAGCCCTTTAACTGTTTCCTTAAGAAAGCGATGTAAAACCTCACTCACTCACTCGTTGACTTGGTTGACACATGTCATCGGTTCCCAATCGTGCAGATCGATGCTCATGCTGTTGATCACTGGATTGTCTGGTTCAGACTCGATTATTTACAGACCGCCGCCATATAGCTGGAATATTGCTGAGTGTGGCATAAAACTCCACCCACTCACTCACTCACTTGCTCACTCACCCGCTCACTCACTAAATAGTTGTTGGGATAAATCAGGGTGTTAGAATGCTTTTAACATTTTTCATTTGAATTTACAACTGAAAGATATATCATGTCAATGTCAAAACTGTCTTTGTAATTGACATAGGAATATGGAAATAAGATTTTAAGAACTCAATGCTGTGGTTCCCTGCAGTACTGCTAAATGCAGACCTCACCCACCCCTCCCACATACCCAAGTGTGTGTGTTCTAGTGTGAACATATGTACAGTGCCTACAATGATGACATTTATCAGTTACCTGCTGAAGGATATACAACATCTTGCCCAGCCTTATATTAGAACATTAGTTATTATTAATATCTGCGAGTATCAAAGTGGAAGTGTTTCCATCACAACCTGGTCGTCACAAGTAACAATGGGAGGAAGGACCCCAGGCCGGGCAGGATGTTGGCACCCCCTGGGATGTTTAGCTGAACACGAATTACTATTTGTTTATTCCATTTTGGAGTAACTTAATTAGGAGTGTTCTGTGTAGACTCATGCAGGGTCCAGGAACAGCTTTGTGGTAGCCATGGGGGTTCTGTGTGTATTTGGGGTGGTTAGTGGAGCAGTGGTTTGAATGGGGTGAGGGAAGTAGAGTGTGTTAGGGGTTGGGAGAGGATGGTTTGGGAAAGAGGGGAAGAATGGGTGGATGGGTAGTGAATGGGTATCTGGCAGTTGCAGGGTATGGTTTTAGTATGTAAAGGTTGTGTGTGTGTGGTAATGGAGGGATGTAAATGTTCTGTGTGTGTGAGATATGGGGGATGTAAAGGTTGTGTGTGTGTGGTAATGGAGGGATGTAAATGTTCTGTGTGTGTGAGATATAGGGGGTGTAAAGGTTGTGTGTGTTGTAATGGAGGGATGTAAATGTTCTCTGTGTGTCTGTGTGAGATTGAAATATGGGGGGATGTAAAGGGTGTGTGTGTGGTAATGGAGGGATGTAAATGTTCTGTGTGTGTGTGATATAGGGGATGTAAAGGTTGTGTGTGGTAATGGAGGGATGTAAATGTTCTGTCTGTCTGTGTGTGAGATTGAAATATGGGGGATGTAAAGGTGTGTGTGTGGTAATGGAGGGATGTAAATGTTCTCTGTGTCTGTCTGTGTGTGAGATTGAAATATGGGGGATGTAAAGGTTGTGTGTGTGTGGTAATGGAGGGATGTAAATGTTCTGTGTGTGTGAGATATGGGGGATGTAAAGGTTGTGTGTGTGGTAATGGAGGGGTGTAAATGTTCTGTGTGTGTGAGATATGGGGGATGTAAAGGTGGTGTGTGTGGTAATGGAGGGATGTAAATGTTCTGTGTGTGTGAGATATAGGGGTGTAAAGGTTGTGTGTGTGGTAATGGAGGGCTGTAAGTGGTCTGTGTGTGAGATTGAAATATGGGGGGATGTAAAGGTTGTGTGTGTGGTAATGGAGGGCTGTAAGTGTTCTGTGTGTGAGAGATATGGGGGATGTAAAGGTTGTGTGTGTGTGTTAAAGGAGGGATGTAAATGTTCTGTGTGTGTGTGTGATATAGGGGATGTAAAGGTTGTGTGTGTGGTAATGGAGGGATGTAAATGTTCTGTCTGTCTGTCTGTGTGTGAGATTGAAATATGGGGGATGTAAAGGTTGTGTGTGTGTGGTAATGGAGGGATGTAAATGTTCTATGTGTGTGAGATATGGGGGATGTAAAGGTTGTGTGTGTGGTAATGGAGGGATGTAAGTGTTCTGTGTGTCTGTGTGTGAGATTGAAATATGGGGGGATGTAAAGATTGTGTGTGTGGTAATGGAGGGATGGAAGTGTTCTGTGTGTGTGAGATATGGGGGATGTAAAGGTTGTGTGTGTGTGAGAGATATGGGGGATGTAAAAGTTGTGTGTGTGTGTGTGTGTGTGTGTGTGAGATATCGGGGATGTAAAGATTGTGTGTGTGGTAATGGAGGGATGTAAATGTTCTGTGTGTGTGAGATATGGGGGATGTAAAGATTGTGTGTGTGAGATATGGGGGATGTAAAGGTTGTGTGTGTGTGAGATATGGGGGATGTAAAGGTTGTGTGTGTGTGTGTGTGTGTGTGTGTGTGTGATATGGGGGATGTAAAGATTGTGTGTGTGAGATATGGGGGATGTAAAGGTTGTGTGTGTGAGATATGGGGATGTAAAGATTGTGTGTGTGAGATATGGGGGATGTAAAGGTGGTGTGTGTGTGTGTGTGTGTGTGTGTGTGTGATATGGGGGATGTAAAGATTGTGTGTGAGATATGGGGGATGTAAAGGTTGTGTGTGTGTGAGATATGGGGGATGTAAAGATTGTGTGTGTGGTAATGGAGGGATGTAAGCGTTCTGTGTGTCTGTGTGTGAGATTGAGATATGGGGTGATGTAAAGGTTGTATGTGTGGTAATGGAGGGCTGTAAGCGTTCTGTGTGTCTGTCTGTGTGTGAGATTGAGATATGGGGAGATGTAAAGGTTGTGTGTGGAGCCCCGGTGAGGACTGGGGAATGGGAAAGGGGTGAGTGTGAGGTGGGAAGAGGAAGGGGGGTGTCAAGGTGAAATAAGGACAGGTGTAAAGGTGGGGAGGGGAACACTATGTATCATGATAGGAGCCCAGGTTTGGTCAGGGGTGGCTGAGGGAAAGTGAGAAGAAGAGAGGTGTGTGAGCAGGAAACCTGTGTAGGGTTGCAGGAAGGAGATATGTTGAGAGGCTGCAGGGAGGGGAGAAGAGGGTTAAAGATGTGGGGTAGATAGTAGGGATTACTTGACATATCAACAATTACCTTGGTACCTTGGTTACTGATGATTACTGGGGCTGTGGGGTAGCCTAGTGTTTAAAGCGTTCACTCGCCATGCCGAAGACCCAGGTTCGATTCTCCACATAGGAACAATGTGTGAAGGCCATTTCTGGTGTAAAACCATACTCACTCACAGATGATTACTAGAAATCTAGCAAGTAAATTCGCCAGCAAGTTCTGTTCTGTCTTCAGTATGAAAGGTTCAAAACATTACTTTGGTAACAAGAAATATATTACTTTAAAGGATGTGTATGGCAATATTTGTATTTATCATCTAATGGAGGGTGTTATCGGTGCAATAAGGCAGTCTGATAAACTTGGTACCCAAATCTGATAACTATGCAAATTACGTCAATCCACGAACTACTTTCACAAAACTCCATACACACCATGCGAATCCCGAAAAACTTAAACATTTCATTGATGACGTCGCGAATTTACATTGTGTGGACAAGTTTGTAAACAAACATGGCTGCCCCCATTATTAAAATTGGTGATTCTATAAGAATTGATGACAGAGGTTCTGGAGTCGTTACTGCAGTAATTGACTTTGGAAAATATGAAACGAAGTACTTTGTTCAAATTTAAGGTACGGATTATGAGGCACGAGTGAAAGGTGATCATCTAAGAAAGGTATCAACCAAGGATTGCGATCTATCGATCACAATACAGACGACGAATCGATTCCATCAGGTATCAGAAACTGATATTGATGAGGTGATTAACCGCAATGAAAATAGAAACACTGACAGGAAAATCCTGCCTGATTTTGTTGTTCTTTTTATACAGAAAGATCTTTTTTTAAGCACGAGTTATGTTTGCACTGGATTAGCGACTAGTCACAACCATATGCCGCCGTCATGAACGACCTTCACCTTGGTGTACCGCTAAGTATTTTTTCGTGAATGCTCGATTCTCTTCATATAAATTCACGTATGATTTGCTTCTTTTTTTAGAGTAATCATAAGAATGACATTATATGATAAAGAGATTATTAACCTCGTGTGTTTTCGTATCATTAATATCATATATTCATGATACGGAAACACACTCATTTAATAATCTCTATGTATGTAACAATTAACACTAATTGTATCTCAGTGAATGGTTGTTTTTTTCTTGTTATAAGCTTCACTCAGAATGTCAGTCATGTGACAGAAACCGGTAAATAGCCACGGGGGTCAATCCCGTGGTTGGTGTTGTGAGCAACTATTCTCACTATCACAGTATGATCACTTGAAGGACCAATTCTAACCCACTACCACACCATAACAGACCGCCTCCGTGGTGTAGTGGTTAGAGTGTCCGCCCGGAGAGCGGAAGGTCGCGGGTTCGATCCCCGACCACGTCATACCAAAAGACGTTCGGCATTAATGGGTACAACAAGGACTGGACGGCTCGGAGTCAGTATAATGTGTCTGAGTGGGGTATTCATGCTTCACTGCGGCATGGTATCTCAGTGGGCTAGCACTATAAAACCAGCTTAAGTCTGAGCTAGTACAAGCAGCCGCACATACACATACACACGCATGCACGTCATCATATGAGTGAAATATTCTCGAGCACGACGTAAAAACCAATTTCACCTCACCTCACCTCACCTCACCTCACCTCACCACACCACACCATAACAATGCTGAAACACTGCTAAAATTTAGAACAAAAACCTACTTGCTCACTTATTCTTCCAAAAAAAAACTGTTTAAACTCAAAATGTTTTCATAAAAAGTTTATTTGTTGCACATCATCAAAATGTTTGTGTCAGTGAACCTACTCAGTAATTTGAATAGGGATGTTGGGGTAAGCTTGTGGTTACAGTATTAGCTCATCATACAGAAGACCAAGGTTCACATTGGACATTTTTTGAAGCCCACTTCTGGTGTTCCTTCATGATATTGCTGGCACAATGATAGAACTATAGCCATAGTCACTCACTGAGTAAAAGACAAAAATGGTCAAAGAGTAAGCACAGTAACTGCTGGTAGGAGCAGTATGTAGAATTACAACTACTTATCATTGCCAACTTGTTTTTTTTGTTCTGTTGGATGATTACTGACCCTATTGAACAAGCCAGCATCAGTAGTTTCGGAGACTGGGCCATGTCGCTGACCCTGATTATCACTGAAGGTCCCTGGATGATGAGAACATGGTTTTTATCTGGGTAATTACTGAACGTGTGTTCGGGATCACATGCTAGGGGATACATCACTAGTAGGCAGCCCAGTCATCAACCACTGGGAAGTCCTGATCCACCACCACCAATCACTGTAATCCTCAGCTTCAGCAGGATGATGCTCAATCAACAAAGTAAATATTATCTTTGATACATACATCAGAATTACACTATGAAATGCTGTTGTATTTTCAAACACAAAAGCTATTGTGCAAATAGTTAACTTTGAAGAATAATTATAAGGTCTTTTGATATCTGTTGTGTAGTTTGATAATGGATGAAATTGAATTTAATGAAACGTCTTTGTCCTCAATATTCCTTTGTTTTGTTTTGCATGGTATGATAAAGCAATGTGATAGTTGTCCTACTCTAAAATAAAAGACAATTGTATTGAGCATGTTCATATTTAAGAAATATTTGTCTTTATAAAAATCTTATGTGTGTCTAATCGATATGTGAAGTTGATTTGAATATTGAATATTGCTTGTTTATTTTAGGCCATATGTTGGGTAGTGCTTTGATAGTGCCATTACATGGTACCTTTCAGATAAGTTTTTTTCAGCATCATATTCATGTAACACCTGTTTAAACATATTCTGAAGCTTTCAAAACTAGATATATTTTTTATGAAATTTAAAGTGACATTAAGCTTTTATACATGTATTTGTGTAGTTCTATTCACAATCCTATTCCTGAAACACCTGTTTAAATATTTTAATGTTTAAACATTTTAAGTAGCCAGCAGAATTAAATTCATTTCTATAGAATCCAGTGAAACACATTAAAGTTCTAAACTTAAAAGTAAGAAACTTATTGATATGATGATTGATATCATGTCTTATTTCAGAGAGCACATCAAGAGCAAATCAACACTTACACATGATAAATGAATTTTAATATATTTTTCCATTATGACTCATGCAATCCCAGCTTATTCTACCATCAGCTTGTAATTGATATGTCCAGTCTTTTTATTGTGGAGGAATTACTCATAAAATCAATACTGACATATACACGCATATGAGTTGATAGTAGAAATAAGCCATGCATGACCTCAGCTCCCCCTACCCTTCAGTAGGTCCAATTAGATTTGCAACCTGATAGCGTTATGATCAAACAGTGAGATCATTATTGGAATTTTTCCGCTAAACAAAGACAATGCTGCAGGTTTAATGATAGCTGGAAAATTAGGCCTCCATGTAGGGTTGTAGCTGCGTGGGACAAAGCAGTGACCAATCTACTCCACTAGCCTGTAACAACCCACGTGCACACCCGGAATACTACCGAGCTATGAGTCATGCAGAGAGATGTCCTTTGTCCCTTACTGTTCACAGTTATGGTGAAGGTAGACAAAGAACTTCACGTTGAATTATTTATTCATGTAAAACAATGAAGTTCCTGACAATGGAGTATTTACAGTCACCCCTCATTGCCCTGCCCTAGGGGTTGACCAGCCCCTCCCTAAATGAGGGTGGGGCAGGCTGGCTGGAGTAGGGTACAGCCAACATATGGGGGTCATTAATTTCTTAGAGCAATATTATCTGTTTAACAAAACTGTCATATCTTAGAATAGAATTTATGGAGTCGGGTCTATAGTTAGGGGTCTGGGGACTTGAATGGAATTTGATTTTACAAGTTAGTCATTTCTTTGTGATGTTTAATTCATTTCAAGTGCTCCTACTGGGGTACTTAAACAAAGCACATAAAGACTCCGTTCAACTTTTCTATGCTATTCCATTCGTATTTTTAGCAACATCGAGGTATCAAAGCATTTTATGAGGTTTACTGTAAAGTTTTGTCAGTGGCAATGAGAAGGAAACCCGGACTGATTATAATGGGAAATTGTTGATTTGCTTGAAAATGTGTGTATACACAGAGAATATATTGTATGTGATCAACATGCCATAAGAGCTAAAAATAAGAGTTGCTTAGGTTGCCTATAATCTATAGTAAACTTGTTTACCAGTGAACATATTCTGCAATATTGCCTTGTGTTCTCTGAATTTTATTCCATCAGTATATGTACCAAACAAAAGAAGTAAAGGCTAATAAATATTTGAAGGAATATTATTCTGAAATTGTGTCAACAGTCTTCAATTAAAAAAAAAAGCCACAAAAGCCTTCTTGATCTTTGTCTGTTTTTGTTCAGTTTATGAGTATGTGATAAACACACTTGAATTTACCAAATGGACTCTGTACGTTATTGCATAGTTTCTTTATTAAAGAGAGTGAATACATGTAAACTGTTGAGTCGATTCTGAAGTGTAGTATCTCCTACTTGGTTGGGATAGCTCTCCTTCAAATTTGATTATACAGCCCTCTTTATCCAACAGACATGGTCTCTCTCATCATTGATGTAGCACTGACTGAACTATGTAAAATATTTGAATAATAATTCAACTGTGAGCTTTTCCTGTAGGATTGGGTAAGTTGCTGGGTGAGTGAATAAACAAATTGATTTGGTATGATGTATATTGCCCAAAGTTGAATAACCACTAGGGACAGCTGTTAAAGAAGTGTGACCCATGACTAAGGGCAGTTTGTGAATATACTTGAGATATGAGATGAACATACAGATGCTGTGGTGATTTTAAAACACAACATACATACAGACATGGTATTAAAGCATACACACAGTATTGAATGCTGAAGGTTGATACGTAGTGCACCGGCTGGCTTCCTGTAGTGCAAGGTGAAGGTAAAGGAGCCTAATTGTCATATATTGACTAATGTAAACAGATTCCGCCATATTGATCAGTATTGTGGCACGTGTGATACGGAACAATGTGGCCCTTTAAATTCAGTCCCTGCCACTTTTGAAAACCTGTTACAATTTTGGATTTTATACGTATTAAAAAGATATTATCCCGAATGTAATGCAGGACTATGGGAAGAAATCTGCTCGTATGATGGGACTTTGATGACTTGATATTATTGACATTACCAACAAAACAGTGCAACATATGCAGATATTGATGTGAAGACAATAATTTATTGACTACTGATGGCTGGATTTTTGAAATGTTGACAAGCACCAGCAGATGGTATTGGATGCGTATAAATCATGCTCTTGGGAGTTTGAAAAGATTTATATTGACACTTAATCATTTCGGCATAATCAGTACTGCTGTGTGTTTTTCTACACAAGTCAAAAGTGCAGAACTATTCATAGTTTAAAAATGGCAGAGTTTCACAAATCAGAAATTCTGTGTATCAGATTCAGCCCAACATTAATGACTGAAATCAATTTCTATATTTCACATCTGTCACCCTACTCAGAATCATTCACTTGGGATGGGTAGATTTTTTCTATGTGGTTAGTAATTGAAATTGCTCTTGGATAGAAGTTCTTTCTCTCCATCAGTTGAGTTGTCATACACTAAACAGAATCAGCTAATGTTCTCATACAATAAGCTGGTGTCATCATACAATCACCTGTTGTCATACAGTCAGCTGGTGTCCTACAATCAACTGGTGTCATTCAATCAGCTGGTGTCATCATACAATCAGCTTTTGTCAATACAATCAGCTGGTGTTGTGATATTGTCAGCTGGTGTTATACAATCAACTGGTGTCATCATACAATCAACTGGTGTAATACAATCAGCTGTTGTCATACTGTCAGCTGGTGTCATCATACAATCAGCTGTTGTCATCATACAATCAGCTGGTGTCATCATACAATCAGCTCGTGTCATACAATCAGCTGTTGTCATACTGTCAGCTGGTATTGTCAGTACTGTCAGCCGGTGTTGTCATACAGTCAGCTGTTGTCATCCAGTCAGCTGGTGTTGTCAATACTGTCAGCAAGTTTTGTCATTCAGTCCATTCTTGTTGTCAAATACTCAGCTGGTGTCATCATTCAGATGGTGTTGTCATACAGTCAGCAGGTCTAGTCACAGTAAGCTACAGTTATCATAGCCAGCAGTGGTTTACCTGCAGCTTGCTACTAATACTGTCATACTGTCATGTAATTTACACAAGTTCCATCTGTTAACTTAAGCAGGGCCAAACTAAGGTCATCATATATTTTGCATGGCCAATAGGTCCATTATACAATATGCATCGCCCAGTGAAACTTATACATTGACCTGGTGCCTACTGAACTCTTCATACTGTTAGCATGGCCCAGCTGAACACATCATTTCGTTAGCATGGCCCAGCTGAACACATCATTCCATTAGCAAGGCCCAATTGAACTCATCATACAGTTAACAAGGTCCAGCTGAATACATCATTCTGTTAGCAACACTCAGCTGAACACACCATTCCATTAGCAAGGCCCAGCTTAGCACATAATTCTGTTAGCAAGGCCCAGCTGAACACATCATTTCGTTAGCATGGCCCAGCTGAACACATCATTTCGTTAGCATGGCCCAGCTGAACACATCATTCCGTTAGCATGGCCCAGCTGAACACATCATTTCGTTAGCATGGCCCAGCTGAACACATCATTCCGTTAGCATGGCCCAGCTGAACACATCATTTCGTTAGCATGGCCCAGCTGAACACATCATTCCGTTAGCATGGCCCAGCTGAACACATCATTTCGTTAGCATGGCCCAGCTGAACACATCATTCCGTTAGCATGGCCCAGCTGAACACATCATTTCGTTAGCATGGCCCAGCGGAACACATCATTCCGTTAGCATGGCCCAGCTGAACACACCATTCCGTTAGCATGGCCCAGCTGAACACACCATTCCGTTAGCATGGCCCAGCTGAACACATCATTTCATTAGCATGGCCCAGCTGAACACATCATTTCGTTAGCATGGCCCAGCTGAACACATCATTCCGTTAGCATGGCCCAGCTGAACACATCATTCTGTTAGCATGGCCCAGCTGAACACATCATTCCGTTAGCATGGCCCAGCTGAACACATCATTCCGTTAGCATGGCCCAGCTGAACACATCATTCTGTTAGCATGGCCCAGCTGAACACATCATTCCGTTAGCATGGCCCAGCTGAACACATCATTCCGTTAGCATGGCCCAGCTGAACACATCATTCTGTTAGCATGGCCCAGCTGAACAAATCATTCCGTTAGCATGGCCCAGTTGAACACATCATTCCGTTAGCCTTCCCCAACTAGGCATGTCCTACAGTTAATGTGACCCAACTTATAAGGC